TCTGGCCAGCTTGTCAGAAAATAAGATTGTGTCTTATGACTTGCTTGGCTTCTCTTCACAGACATGGCGATACAGTGTCAAGTCAGCTTAAAATAATTGAAGCTGAATGTCAGAGAAAATTAACAGTCTAAACACCTCAAACTCTTACAGAGAGGTTTGATTTGTAGTGAAGGCAGGGCTGTTTGTTAAACCTGGCCTTTTCCCACAAACACCTCCTGAGCTTAAAGGAATACTCAAGCATTTTTCAACCTAATCTCTATTCGTCATGTTTGTAACACACCATTGATTACTATAGACAATCATTTTGATGATTTTCCCTGAATGGAAAAGAAAAGCCATTCGAAAGTCACTTATAATAGAAGAAAGTGAGCTGTTGCTGAATTCCATGAATAAACATTTGACATGACTAGATGCTAATTTAATACTTCAACTAAGGTACAGCCTTTAGGCTAAGAGGGACGTGAGAGAATGTCTTACCAACTCTGTTCCTATGAAGCTGTTCATTTTGAACACCAGGAGAATCCAGTAATGAAGGCTGTTTTTTGCAAAATGTAGGAGATTAATTAGAAAAGTCCCAGTCTAGAGTCACAGCAGAGGATATACAGTAGACCGAAGTTTATGAGCGATGCCACTAACCTTTCTAACACATGCAATTCTGCTGTTTCCCAAGTTGGTGCACTCAGTGTCGGTTCTTTGACGCTGACTGAAAACTTTGCGTTCTTTGCAGGCTAAAAATCAGCATTAAAAGTGGTAATTGTTACCTAAAGAGAACAGTTAACCAACACAACCAAGAGACAGCCTAAACATCAGCCCTAAAGGGCACGATTAACCATTGCAATCAACAGAGGCTAAAACCCAGCCCTAAAGTGTACATTTAAACAACCAACTGACAGGCTAAAAACCAGACTTACAGGACATATTTAACCAATTCCACCAACTTAAAACATAAAAACAGCCCTAAAGGGTATGTTTAGCCTATGCAACTAACTGAGAGTCTAAAAACCAGTGTTAACAGGTCATTTTAACTAATGCCACCAACGATTAAGCTAAAAACCAACACTAAAGGGCACAGTTAACCAGTGCAACTAACAGAGAGCCTAAAAACCTACTCTAAAATATACATTTAAACAATGCAACCAGTGGAGAGGCCAAAAACCAGCCTTAAATGCTGCATTCAACCAATTCCACCCACATAGAGAATAAAAAAAACAGCCACAACGGGTATGTTTAACCAGTGCAACTAACTAAAAGTCTAAAAATCAGCCCTGAAAGACATGATTAACTAATGCAATCATCAGAGAGGCTAAAAAACAGTTTTAAAGTATACATTTCAACAATGCAACCTACTGAGAGACTAAAAACCAGTCTTAAAGGATATGTTTAACCAATTCTAACAACTTAGAGGATGAAAACAGCTCTAAATGGTAAATTTAGCCTACGCAACTAAGAGTCTAAACAGTTTTAAAAGATCATTTTAACTAATGCCACTGACGATGAAGCTAAAAACCAGCCCTATAGAGCACAATTAACCAGTGCAACCAACAGAGGGCCTAAAAACCAGCTCTAAAGTATACATTTAAACAATACAACCAATGGAGAGGCCAAAAACCAGCCCTAAAGGAGGCATTTAACCAGTGCAGCCAAGTAAGAGGCTTAAAACCAGCCCTAAACAGTACATTTAAACAAAGCAACCAGTTGAGGAGCTAACAGCTATCCCTTAAAGAGGCCTTTAACCAGCGGAACCAATTGAGAGGTTTCAAAACAGCCTTGAATGATACATGTAAGTAATGCAACTAACACAGAGACTTAAAACTAGTCAGTAAACAATACATTTAAGCAATGCCACCAGAAGGATGCATGTGACCAATGCAGTAAACAGAGATACAAAAATGGCTCTAAAGAATGTATTTAACCAGTGCAAGAGGCTAAAAAAGACCCTAAAGAATAAGTTGAAATTGTGCAATGATATGATACGATTAAAAAAATTAGAAACAAAAACAGCCTTACAGGATACATTAATGCAACCAAGAGGTATTTTGACCAGTTGAGAGGCAACTGGTAAAGGATGCATTCAACCAGTGCAACCAGTTGCAAAAAATTGGCCCTAAAGGATGTCCAGAAGAATTTGAGACATCCAGGCAAGCGGAGGAAAGGAAAGGGGAGACAGTGAGAGAGAGACAGAGAGAGAGAGAGAGAGATCTTTTCCTCCTCTTGTCTGCACAGACACAAGCTGCTATGTGATTCATTCCCATAAACATGGACACATGAATACACAAACACTCTCAGCCTGGAAGCTGTCTATTTCATCACTGTGTTACATCACAGGGCGTGCTGGAGCGCTGCAGCGTGTAGCTCTGTTTGCTGAGTGTTCCAGTCAGGCTTAGGTTACGCTGTTCCCAGTCTTGCTTAGACCGCAGGGACTAATGCGCTAGCATGGCCCAGGGGACAGCAAATGAGACAGGCAGAGGAAGAGACCACTGCTAGAACATCACTTTCAAGGGTGGCCAAATGCATTTCTCCAATTACCTGAGGCAAACATGAACTCCAGTGTGCTGGGTCAGCTTTGTTGATGCAGGTGTGTGTTAGGAAACTTTTTTTTTTTTATTTTTGTCCTCAATAAAATGATGTTCACTAAGACCTATGAACAAAAAATAGGATTCCAGAAATGAACGATGACTGCTGTGCCACTTTTTGCGAAGACCCCAAATTTGGACGTTTTCATTCACACAATACATGTGACATTTATTGTCATGTTATACCAAGCTAGTATTATAAACCAAGATAAAAGGGAAAATATATATTATATTACATTTTTTATATCAGCGCATGCCTGGATTGCACATATATGCATTTACACTGAATAGTATATTAGTAATTCTCCTTTTCATACTGTCCTTAAACTGAATGTTTTCAGCCCTGCATTTAAACCCCAGTACATTTTTATGTATTCAGTGCAGTTGTTATCTTTAATATTTTACAGCGTCATCACTTTGACGTTTGCTCATTTGGCAGGAAGCTCTTACGAAATTTCTTAACCTGGGTGAGATAAATATAGCATGCTTCCACCATCCCCCTGTAAACCCACACACACACAGGCAAAAGAACTTTGTATGTTAGTTTTATCAGATTTTACTTAATCTGTGAGGTCTAAAAAGTATATTAATGGACAGGACTGTGAGAGGTGACTGTAAGACGCTCTGTGAGAACAATTTATTAAAAATGTTCACACTTCTTGCATAAAATGGACCTAATGATTAAAGTCAAAACATTTTTTTAATAATTAATGTTTGTGGGGATCATTTTGAGGTGCGTTGCCTTGAGGCAACATTGTGTAAAATGATAGTGTGACATGAAAACTAGATTTTTTAAATTGAAATATTTGGAATCCAACCAAGAAACTGCTTAAGTTGTTGATCTTTAAATACTAAAAATACTTTTAAAAAATTCTATTTCATGTTATTTTTAAAGAAACCTTGTTACCACGATGAAGCATTTCAAAATAATGCTTTAATTCTCGCACAATGAACAGTCACTTAAAAACAGTTAACAGTTAAAATCATGGTACACCATAAAAAGGAATTAAGCTGTTTTCTAAGCAAAACTGATGATATTAGTAAAACATACTGTCTGTTATGTACTGTGTGTATGTTAAATTCTAAATAAGTTAAGAAGTCTTCTAAAAAAACACAAATTCAAAAATAATACTAAATAATAAGAGTGTTGTCTAAATGGGCAACAAAAGTGACACCTCTTATACTGTTGCCTGTATCCATTCCACTGTCACGCAGTGTTGCTTCTAGGCAACATACATTTTTAAAGAAATTTCTTAAAAATAATTGCATTGTACTGAGTATTAAAAAATAAACTTTACACTCAGATATGAACTATAATTTTGGATTAAAAAATGTTTTTTTCTGAGGGCAGCTGTCCAGAGCAGGGCTGTGTGTCGTCCACAAGCTGGCCATGCCAGAAAGAAGTTTTAAAATGCACAACGATAGATATTGTGACCAATACAAGCTTTTTTTTGGTTTATTCAAACTCGTCTCTTCATTGTTAACTCTTATATTGTTATTAAATATGTTACATGTCAGTGTAAAGAGAGGAAAAATGTTGTGTTGCCTTGAGGCAACATTGTGCAATAGAGCGTTAAAGCCTTAATGCCCCCATATTGCCCTGTTTCATTACTATTGTCAGTTTATAGGCAGGCACTACAGCCACCAAACACATAGAAACACCGAAGAGGTGCCTGAATTCTGTCAACAGTAGGACAGACATAAATACCGGAATGATTATTACTAATCAAGTAATCAGCAGCAGACTTTACTGAACAGCCATGCAAAATGAATCATTTAAATGGGCCAAAAAATGCCTGCCAACTAATCACTGCTGATTCATTGAGAAAGAAAGTCTAAAAATAAGTTTGATGGCTTTTCTTTTCTCATCCTATCTGAGTTCCATTATGGGTACATGTTTTAACTCTTCTGAGATCACTTTCCCGGACAGAGATTTAGCCTAGTCCAAGACTAACAAAGTCATAAGCGAGAGAAGGAGAAAGTCCCTGTGGACCCTGTTGCATCATTGTTTAACTCAGCCTTTACGGTTCTCTGTATTCAAATCACGCTCCACTGACTTTCTTCTGACTTTTGGCAGCAGTTTGAAATGGCTGGAGTGCAGTGGACTGCACCGAGTCGTTCTTCTGTCTTCGCTGCAGAGTTGGCACACAGCCCACAATGCCCTCACAAAGCTGCGAGTGCCAGTGCCTGCTGAATGGTGTCATGCCTACTAAGGTTCACTGAGTTTCAAAATTATTCTCACCCAAAAGGCCTTTAACCCGGTGGTCCTCCGCCAGCGGGTTCTTGTTAAGAAAACCTTTCGAAACCTCGTATGCTAGAGCATGGTGCATTATTACTGTCACACTGGAGTTAGAATATAGTACACCCATGCCCCCACTTCAGGGGGGTGAGATAGAGGTTTTTCTGAACTAATGTTTGTTTTCACAGGTCCCTGTAGCCCACTGCTTCGGTCCAGCCGGTCAGAAGAAGAGGTTCTGCTGTGTGTGCCGGAAGAACCTGGAAGGAACTGCAGCCCTACGCTGTGAGGGTGAGTATGTATTAAGTTACCAGGCTCATCTGTGGTCCTTTCCTTTTTCACACCAGTTAAGGACAGATTTTACTTACAGTCATAGTATAGTAAGCTTGGATGATCATGTAACTTCAGACAAACAGTTATTGCCTACGGAGCCCTGCTGGTGAAATCCCGTATAAATAAAAATAGTGCATGGCCATGCCTTATTAACTCGTGGCAACAAGATCCTAATGTTGGTATAGTGTAGTGGGTAACACCTCTGCCTACTACGCTGTAGACTGGGGTTCGTTCCCCTACCTGGGCAAGCACCCTACACTATACCAATCAGAGTCCTTGGGCAAGACTCCTAACACTACCTTTGCCTACCTGTGTGAAAAGATCAAATTGTAGGTCACTTTGGATAAGGGTTTCTGCCAAATGCCTTATATGCAAATGTAAATGTAATGTGTGACCACAACTTGAGATAATTAAGTCGTGGTCTCCACTTAGTAAGGCATGGGAACGAGATCAGTTGTGGCCATGCATTAGGATCTCATTTCTATGCCTTACTAAGTCGCGACCACTTAATTATCTTGTTCCCATGCCTTACTAAGTCGTGGCCACACATTATTCATATTTATGTAGGATGTCATCAGCGGGGATCAGTAATTGTCTGCAGAATTATCATGATAAACGATATCATTAGGATTCAAATTCACGTGATCATTACAAAGATTGCATTTTCCCGATTACACAAACCCAATTCCTAAAAAAGTTGGGACAATAAGTAAAATACAAACAAAAAACAGAAAGCAGTGATTCGTAAATCCACTTTGACCTGTAGTTAAACGAAAACAGTACAGAAGACATCTTGGGGCTTGAGCTCATCTGAAATTGCCTGATGCTCAGTGGAAGCATGCATTACGGTGTGACAAGTCAGTCTTTCAGATTGTTTATGGAAACAATGGACGTCATGTTCTCTGGGCCAAAGAAGTAAAGAACCATCCCACTTGTTACCAGTGTAAAGTTCAGTAGCCAGGGTTTGTCATAGTATGGGGAGGGGGGGCATTAGTGGATAACAAGGGCCATATTACCGAAACTTCTCAAGTCTTCTGAAGTCTTATCTGCTTAGTCACCATGACAACTTCAGTTAGGACTGAATTTAGGACAGAGGCTATTACAGAACAACAGTTCTTAAGTTCATAGTCTTATCCATTAACTCCAGATAAGAAAACAGGGTTACAGAAACATCATAACTAGACTAAATTTTGTTCTAACTTTAAAACAATCCCAGAGGTGTCTTAACTTGTGTTTTAACCATCTGTTTCTATTGTTTTGTGCAGTGTTAGATAGCATAGTTCACTATAACTAGCGTAATGACGTTACATTTACATTTATCTACACTGAAAACGGTTCTTTAACTTGTTTTTTTCTAACAGCATTTTAAGAACCTCAGTTGCTGCAGACACAATATCCACCGGCCCCTCTTATTACCTTTTGTATGTTAATGTTGATGAAAACTCGTCAGATAAAATATTACAGCGATGGTGGTGAATATTGAGGAGACAGAGCTGAACGTGTGTCTGTTTATTAGAAGGAAAAATATTAGTGTGGTCAGCTAACGTGTTTGGGGAAATGACACCATATTCTTAACTTTCAGTTTATCATGCTTCAGTTTTGTTTGACCTTTTTTGTACATCAGTAACAGTAGCTAATGTTAGCTGCCTGGCTAACTAGCTTGATTACTTTGATTACTTGTTTACGGTTCAGCTGTGCACGTACAGTCGGTTGCTAGAAAACGATCGAGTGAGTTAAGATAAGATTCGTGAATTAAGGTAAGATTTGCTTCTGTAATTCGGATTTGTGAAAAAAAATCTTATCTTGACCTGTCAGATCTTTAGTTAAGGCAAAAAGATAGGAAGTTTCTGTAATACGGCCCCAGGATACTGTCACCAGGCCTAAGTTCACCAGTGAATGGGGTAAAACATGACTGGATTCAGATTTGAGGGCCAAACTTCGGTATCTGCCCCCTCCACCTTTAACAAATGGACTGAAAAGGTAAGAGATGTCTGTATCAGTCAGAGAGAGCTGTGCAGAAAGGATGGTCCTGTGTGTGTGTGACAGTTTCTGCCTCTGCTCTATTGTTCACATTCTCTCTGCCTTCGTATCATTTTCCTATCAGCAAGCCATCCGCCACAATTCTCTTTCATCTCTTCTCTGTCATCCTTTCTCTTTCTCTTTCTCTCTCTCTCTCTCTTTTTGGTACTGCTCATTTATCTGTTCTTGACTCCCTGCTTGATGTAGAGCTGCTGTTGCCATGGTAACACAGGATGGCCTTTTGCAGTGGGTTGAATTCTAAGAACTCTGCAGAAAAGGAAACATTTTCTCTCTCTCTCTCTCGCACACACCCATACACACACACTCACACTCCCTTTTTCTCACTCCCTTGTTTACCCATTCTCTAACCATCTCTCTCTTTCTTACTTTGGTCTTGATTGCCTTCTCTCTCTATTTCTTTCTTTCTATCTCAATTCAATGCAAGTTAACCATGTTGTACTGGCATGGAAGTCTCTCTCTCCCCCTCTCTCCCTCTCTCTCACTCTCTCTCTCTCTCTCTCCCTCTCTCCCTCTCTCTCTGTCTCTCGCTCCCTCACTCTCCGCTTCTGTCTTTTTTTGTTACATGCACACAAATTAAGTTCCTCGTGATGCTGAAGGCAGAAGCTTTGAGGTCACTCTCAGCCGAACAAGGCTTCTGCAAATGCATTCTAAATGCAGCAGCTGTTTTCTTCCAAAATGCCAAGAGAAAGCTCCCTGTGTGTTTCTTTTGGTGAAACAGAAGAGTGTGCATATATTTGTTTTCATAATGTCCTGAGTGTGTCAGAAAAACAGAGGAAAACACGAATAACCTGGCCTGTCAGGAGCAGCAAAATGATTCTGTCAGAGATAAAGTGCTTGGGAACACTTTACTTGAACCCTGCTACGTAACATTGACATAACTATGCCATGAACATGTCATGTCAGATGTCATATGCTGGTCATGAGCTGTCATGATGACACGTTACTTGACATAACTATGACATAACTTATCTGTCGTTTAGAGTGTACAGTGACAGTGTCATTACCGGTCTTATGATAGATTCCATGACATTTGCTGTCATGATGACTAACTAGAGTACACTTATATATATATATATATATATATATATGCATGTATATGTGTGTGTGTGTGTGTATATATATATATATATATATGTATATATATTTATAATGTTATATTACTGAACAAAATCTGTCATTACAGTATATAGCATCTACTATGACATGTCAGTGTTATGTAGCAGGTCTCAAGTAAAGTGTTTCCAAGTGATTTTTACAGTAAGCTCAATGTTTAATTTTTTTAAAACTGAAAGGTTAAAACCATTTCTTTCTGGCTACCGAGGTTAAGATTAGGGTTAAAAGTCAGTAGCACTTTGATTTACAGTGTTCATAAAGCTACATGACATACATAAGCCTTTCATGACAACTGACTTAAACCTACATGAACATTTATAAACACTCATTCCAATAGGTGTCATTTTGTTGTAAAGGTTGCAATTACGAAATTTGATGTCAAGTTGATGTAACATCTTTGTCAGGTGACATTTTTCTCGCATTAGGTTGTCATGACACTTTCTGGGATGACACTTTCATGACACAACACAATGTCAGAAATAGGTGTTTTATATATATAAAACACCAATATCGAGCTTGTATCTACACTCTTTGATCACTTTATCAAGCCCACTTACTATATAGGAGCACTTTGTAGTTCTACAAGTACTGATTGTGGCCCTCTTGTCTCTTTGCATGTTTGTTAGCCTGCCTTTACGCTGAACATCAATGGTCAGAACCCCCACCGGCCACCAGGTACTATTTGTGTTCTCACCATTGGCGAATGGGGTATAGAGATAAACAGAGCTGTAATTTTAGAACTACAAAGTGCACCTATATGGTAAGTGGACCTGATCAAATAGATAGTGAGTGTAGATCGAGGTAAATATAGCTAAGAAAGTGAACACTGAGTGTATGTACAACCCCACATCCTGACCAAGTATTCAAATGTGTGTGTATGTGTGTTTTTTCAGTATGTGAGTTGCATGTTCACAGCGACTGCGCCCCTTTCAGCTGCAGTGACTGTCGCCTGTGTCACCAGGATGGAGGGCAGGACTATGTGAGTATCAGAAACATTGCACAGTATGTCAAATCACATTTACACCGGTGCAAGGTGAGTGAAAATCTTAGGTGCGTAGTCCCCTAGAATTAAAAAAGTATAAATATATATGATTTAGGTTTTATATATATATATATATATAAAAGAAGAAAAAAAACATATACACATATACACAATATACACTAGTATTGCACTATTCACTATAGTGACTCTTTCTTTGTATCTTGGCAAGTCCATGATTTTTGTTTGGCTAGACCATAATAATGCCAAACAAGCCACAGATTATGCATGGCTTATTCTGTTAATACGAAAATTCTGCTGTAATTTGAAAGTGCAACTTCTGTCCTAAGTCCCATATCCCACATTTTTTCTATTTTCTACTTTCTCTGTGGCCCACTTGTGATGTTTGTGTGGGTTTTTATTAATGTGCCTTTAAGGCTGATATATGTAAATCAACTCTGTTTTGATTGGCTGCCCTCTGTTGTGCCTGAGAAAGCAGTCCAGGCTGAAACAGTCCTAGGTGACTACAGGCTGACTAGATGAATATATGTAAATTGATTGTTTTTTTTTGTTTTTTTTTGTTTTTTTTGTAATGACATCACAAAAACAATGAATTTAGTTGGGACATTTTTGCAGTTTGGTTTCCATATTCGGACCGTATGCTGAAAAGCTTAAACAATATTTATATACTACATTAAACTCCTGTTTTAAAAAAGTGAGGATGTTTTAGTTTTCCTAGAAGTCGCCCCTTTAAGCTTCCAGGCTTTCCCCACTTCTTTTGTCGATGTCAACATAGATGTCTGTCCCTTGTCCTTTTTCCAAACCCCCTTTCATCATCAATATCATCATCATTGTTGTCATCATCTCTGTCTGGTTGTTTGGAATGGCTGCTGTGTGTCCTAATCCTCTGATCTTTAACCATTCTGGCTGTCTTAGCTGAAATCCATTATGTCCAAACCTTATGCCCTTTGACATGGATGTCTGATTTAGTTACCGTCCTTACCGTTTAGTGTCCTCATCTGCTGACTATTGACTTTTGACATGCCAGGACATGTACCATCACCACTGGCGGGAGGGAAACATGGCATCTGGGGCGCGCTGTGAGGTGTGTCGCCGTGCGTGCAGTTCCTCTGACGTGCTGTCTGGGATGAGATGCGAGTGGTGTGGTATCACGGTAAGTTCTGAACTGTGGTTGTTTGTTGAAGGAAATTCCACCAGTACAAAAACTCCAAAATTCAGTCGTTAAGATGTAAAGTCTTTCAGAGTGGTTTGATGTGAAATGGTGAAAAGGTTAATTGTAGAGATCCTAGACTGTTTATTATGGTGGTGATATGAACCAGGGGTTATGTTATCTACAGTGCAAGTATATCCATTTTATTTATTTTCCAAAATAGGCAGTGAACCTACATGTCTTCTTAGTTTTTATATGTTAAATAGATCATGGGATTCTTCTCCTTTATAGGCTGGGTTTGTATCTTTATGGATTATACTGCCCTAAATTACTTCAAGTATATTAAAATTAGTTTGCCATGATTTTTTACACAATGGAAAGGGTAGCTGGAGTTTTTAAACTACATGAAAAAAGGAAAAAAAATGCAACGAGTTTCATATTCATGCGAACACAGCATTGACACTATGAAAATATGGTTTTGAATTAATGAAAGTCATAAATACATCCTGATGAAACTTGTTTTGTCCACTCATATCAAACAAAATGCATATAAATGAAAAAAAATGAAAAATAAGACAAATGCAATTAATCTTGATTAACTAAACAAAATTATGTGATTAATCGTGCTTTGTTATTTTAATATTTTGACATCCATATTTAAAATAGATCCATACTTTAGACGTTTGAACCATTGTTAACTTCTGAAAATGTCCCCTGATTTCCATTCATAAATGCAATAGGGTTAAATATCCTTAAGAAGGCTTAATACATACAGTACCGATCCATTAAAATACAAAAACTCTGATGCTGGTCTTTCAAACCAGATCAGGACATCCCTGGCTTGTGTTTGTGTTCGTTTGCGTATCTGTAAATGCTGGTTTATGGGTGCATTGTTTATTAGGTTATAAGCCAGTGAATCCCCTTTTGTCTTCTTAGCATGGCATTTAAGGCTTTTGAGCCGTCTTCCCTCCATTGAAATATTTAGGGGTCATCATTTAATGATGCCGGGAGAGGGAAGTGGACTCACTGTATTTTCTGCCGGCTGTATCTCTCTGCAAATCAATCAATTATTCAATGTGTGCAATTCTAGACTCATAATTCAGAATTCACACATTTGTTGTGGCTGAAAGCAATAAAGCCGCAACGCAGCAGTGTATTGAGTCATTTAACTCTTATCAGCTGATTATTTGACAAACGGCCTTGAAATATTACCTACTGATTAATTTATTTACACAGCGTCAGTCTGTTTTCTCCTGCTGAGTTACATAAGTTTTTAACTCACTCATGTAGCACACTGTCTGTTATATATAACAGATATTTCCAGCCACAGATCCAGCGTAGGGAGATAACTGGAGAACTGGCACTACCAGGATAATTTGTTCCAACTCTGAATTGAAAAGTTTGCTCTGTCTGTTGTATTTTAAAGGGCCTCGTTGTATTTTAAAGGGCCCGATACCAGTCCTACTTCAGATAAACAAATTCTGTTGACTGACAGTATTTGCCAGTATAATTTAATATGGTCCAAAATTAAAGAGGAATAATGTAAGTGCTGGACCTTTCCAGCATTTTTTACATTTTTTTTGTTTGTTTTTGTTTTTAATTTTGTGTTAATTTTCTTTCTTATCAGTTTTCATCATGTAAAGGTTTATTTGTTTGTTTGTTTGTTTGTTAGCCTCATGCTGAAGGCTAGGTTTGAAGACATTTATTGTTATTCTATCCGTGATGGTTAAAAATAAGTTCCTGCCTAAAACAAACATTAAATATGTTATTTGAGGTGATGTTTGGCTTTTCTAGCAGTAAGTTATCTAGCAGTAAGCTCTCTAGCTTCCTTCTGCATTTTCCAGCAGGCAAAAAGTAAAAGCATCCTCAAGAAAGAAACGTAGGTATAGTTTACTCCCACCTTCAAGATACATCATCATCAGTCTTTAAACTGGAAGTCTCACTCGAGACTGCTGTGGCACTGCTGTAGGAGGTGAGGAGGCATGTTTACAGCAGACGCTAAGATGGCTAAATTTTTCATTTTGGCCAGGATACCCCTTTATATTCAGCCTGTACTGCTTCATTAAAGATACTCGTGACTGCAAACTTGGAAGGTGCTGTGAAAGCTGGCATAACAACATTTTCCTCATGATAGAGATGTCTGTTCATTAGAGCAGTCATCTCCAACTGGTCCTACTGAGAGCTACTTTCCTGCAGAGTTTAGTTCCAACCTGTGTCCAGTAAGCTGCCCTGGCCCTCACTTAGTGTTAATACATCTAATCTAGCCAATCAAGGACTTGGGAAGAGGTTGATTAGCTGGAGCAGGTGTAGCAAATTGTGGTTGGAACTAAGCTCTGCAGGAAGGTAGATCTCCAGGAGCAGGCTTGGAGACCACTGCATTAGTGTGTGGATGCTTATCAATATATTACTAATAATAATGTTAATTATATTACATTTTTATTCATGGAGCACTTTTCATTGAAGTTACAAAAAGTAAAGGTTAAAAAGTGCATTATACAGGAATAAAGATAAAACACTGGAAAAATAAAAACACTAAGCTCTAAATAAAAACAACTGTACAGTAGCCGAAAGCAGCCAGCAGGAGAAAACTCACTTCTCCACTACAATGCGTTATTCATCTCTCAGCAGTCTTTTTGTTCCGATTTTTAAAAGTCCTGGTTCTGTGAACGCTCTCATGCATGTCTCCCCCTACACAAACACACAAGTGTAGAACAATTGTAAGATATCACTTGAAAATCATAGCACACAGAACGTTATCTGAGACAAATGACAGGCCAATAACATGACTTCTAATCGGCATACCAGTATTTTCATCTAATAATTCTGATTGTTTTCAGAGATAATTCCAATGGTAATCATTTCCTTTGAAAGTGAGTGTGGAGATTTGAAACAGTGACAGGATGATCTAGTTTAACTGTGCACTATGAAAGTGGATTAAGTGCTGACTGAATATGTATGGTATTGTTTTTCCTTTAAATTGTATCTGTTGCTATTCTTCTCAAATACAAGTAGCTTGATACATTATGGCCAAAACAGGAGCACATGTAAAATTACTGTACTTTGAAACAGTCAGAGACCACCCTTCATTTTTTTACATTTTCAGTCAAAACGGCCATTAAGTACGAGCTATTATTTCTTCAGTGTCAGGAGAAAAGGAGAAAACATATAGTTGAAAATTACACAGAAGCCTCAACAAATAACTAAATCTGATGTCAAAATTTTAAGTATTGAATTTATTCATTCGTTGCCTTTATTACTGCTTCTGTTCTTTTCAAAGAAATCTGCAGGGATATCTTTCCAACCCTCCAAAGTTCAGTCTTAGAAGTTAATTCCTGCTTTTAAAGATCCAAGCAAGCCCAAACACATTCAGCGATATTGAGGTCTGGACTCTGGGGTGGTCAGCCCATTGTTCTGAGAACATCAGCAGCTTCTTTTTTTGATTTGCAAAGTTTTTTCTTGTTTGTCTGTTTCCTTTTCTTAGTAACTGCTTCTTGAGCCGCTACACATCCTTTCGGACCCATAGTGCTGAGTTCGAAATTTTTATTTAGAAATGCTTTTTATTAAATGTTATGGCATCGTGCTGCTTTTATTATTTACTTATTTCTTTTTATTTTATTTGTTTTTTTATTTATTATGTACTCTTTTTCTAAATATTATACTTTAATAGTTGTATTGAATTTACCTTTGTACCACCTTGGGCTTTTCACTTAAATAAAAGGTGCATTATAAATAAAATGCATTATTATTATTATTATTATTTGTCTTCTCACAGTGGACAAATGGACAGAAACCCCATTGGATTTTTCAGATCTGAAGCAAGAACAGAGCTTTGAATAGAATTTGTTTTCTTTTAAAGATGAAAGCTTTAAGTACTATTTTTCTGATGGGGACAGTTTTGGTGGTCTGCCAGTTTTGGTGGTTGCACGGTTGTTAGGAGCAGCCCTACTGTTTTCTTTATATCATGTAATAGTTGTTTGAACTCATTTGACTTTCTCCTTCCTCATACAAGTGAATTATCTCCAATCTAATTTCCTCAGAAATATCTCTTGAAATCAAATAACATACTTTTTCACTGGAAATGAAATAAATGAAGGGTGGTCTATAACTTTTGCACAGTACTGTGCAATGAGTAGAAGGAAGCTTTGTGTTCTTTACGCACTTTTGTCTTTATTACATAAGCTCTGTGCCCTCGGCCTATGAAAGCCCTGTCGTTTAATCCTACTATTGGTGCTGTTGTTGTTCTTTCATGTGTGATATTTAAGAGTTCTGTTGCTGTGAATGGAGCTGTGGTTTCATCTGAAGCCACGCTGGAGACTACAAACCTCTAACATGCTGGTTTCAGAAGAAGCTGTCCATTAAAGTATGTAATTTCAGTGATCTTTCACTCTTGCTATCTGTTTGTATGCTTGCAGGCGCACGCGTCCTGTTACATAATCATTTCTCCAGAGTGCAGTCTGGGACGCCTGCGCAGCATGATCCTCCACCCTAGCTGTGTGCGTGTCTGCTCCCGCAACTTCAGCAAGATGCACTGCTACCGCATCTCCGAGACGTCGCAGCAGTGCGAGCTGGGTAATCCGCCCGCCGAGACACCATTGATCTACAGAGCTGTACAGATTAAAGCCCAGAGTGTGAATAAGCTTTTGATTCATGAGTCTTCAGGCTCTGTGAGCACCACTAACAGAAGGTCACACAAGGCCATACGGTACTTTGAGGGAAAAGTTTGGCCAAAAATAGTATTATCACTGTATTGAATATAACTACAATAGTATTTTTGGCAAAAACTTGTCAGTTTTACTCCAAGCCCTCTGTCTCTCTTGAATGACTAATAAACATCAGCTATGGTGTAGAGATGGCAAAAGTGATAAGTTGCCTGAAGATTTTAGATTACGGTTGCTTTTTCTGACTGCAGACACTTCCCGCAGTTCACTTGGTTGTGCTATTTTTTTGAGCTTCACTTGGTGTAGGCTTGCGCAATATGATCACCATACTGATATTATGATTATATTACTAAATTTTGCACTATGATTTGCAGTATTTTAAAAGATGCATTGAGAAATCAGTATTGTGTGATGTCTAAAAATAGGCTCATCGTATTTTGATCAACTTAAGATTAGTTAAGATCTACACAGCACAGCATTGTGATTTGCCTTATTGGCATATCGTAACTATACTTCTACATAACTGTACAACTTCTGTATTTTAATCTCTGCAGATAATCTGGATGATGTCGATGTCCAGAGCCCAGTAGCATCAAAGGAGAATCAGTCCTCAGGTTCATCAGATACTGGTAAGGATGCATCTGAGATATGCTTTATTAAGTTACATTACACTTTTGTTTGTTTGTTTGTTTGTTTGTTTGTTTTTTGTTGGTGGGATTTTTACCCATTTTTCTCACCAATTTTGTCACTGACAGTTCCACCCACTAGCTAGTTCTCACCCTATCACACAGTGCCACCAAACTGGGAGGGTGAAGACTAGTTTTCTCAGAGACACAGGAAGCACCGTCACCATCTTTTCAAACTGCTGTTAAAGCATTACCTTTCAGATCAACATACTTGGAGGAGAACACTAAGTCCCCAGATCTGTTACTTCACCTAACAGATGGCCACGTTGATTAACTTTGCATCTGACTGGTGGGGGAGGGAGCAAGCCTCAAGAGAGTGCATAGCCAGTCAAACTGTCTTGTATTTCGAGCCATGGATGGCTCTGACATCAGGGATCTATCTCACGATCTCCCAGCAATAGGGCCATTGCCTAGACGGTTGTGCCTCTTAGGAGCCTAACATTCGTCTTAGCTTAGGTTTAATATTTCCTTATACTGAATTCCCACCATAGACATCACCTACACATCAGGGTGATTGGGCACCCAGTGTACACTGGTTGTGACTCAGTTTAGAAGATAATCATTTACATTTGTAATTTTTTAAGAGGTATTTCTGAGAAGATTAGATATAAGATAATCTACTTAAGTGAGGAAGGTGAAAGTCAAAGGGAAAATGAGTGGGGAAAAGCAAGAGTTTCCAAAACTAGAGTTAATTATTAAACTATATACAGAAGACTCTGAATAACTGTGCATGACCTGATAGACAATCAAAATCCACTCTGTCTTCAGAACTGCATAAATCCACAGGTGTTTCTTGTCCATTACTGGCCATTACTGAGAAAAGGAAGTTGACAAAACAGAGAAAAAAATTGCAAATCAAACAAAGAAGTTGCTGGTGTTCTTAGAACAATGCACTGGCAGCCCCAGAGTCCAGACGTCAACATCCCTGATTGTGAATGAGATTATTTGGATCGTGACGAGCAGAAAACGCAACTAACGTCTAAGACTGAACTTCGGAGGTGTGGAAACATATCCCTGCAGATTTCTTTGAAAACTAAGAGCAAGTCTTCTAAAAAGAATTGAAGCTGTAATAAAGACGAAGAGGAGACGCACATAGTACTGAAAAAATCGTTGTATTTAGTTCTTCTGTATGAAACCTGAATGACTTGTTCTTAATGACTGTTTTGACTGGAAATTAAACAAAGGGTGGTCTCTGACTTCTGCGCATTACTGTAAGGCGTTCATCTAGCACTGCTGGTGTGGAATGAGCCATTAATAAAAAAGGCATATCTGTTTAGTCAGACAGACACTTGCTTTACCCTAAAAGTCCTGTTTTAGCTGAAAAGATTAAACGGAGTACACTGTGGTACAGAAAACACTAAAAACGGCCTTCCTTTTGCAGGGAAGCAGACTCTCAAAGTGTTTGATGGGGATGATGCCGTGAAGCGTAACCAATTCCGGTTGGTCTCCATTCCTAGAATCACCAAGAACGAGGAAGTGGTGGTGAGAGCCTTTTTTGTTTTTGTTTTCCTTCCCAGACGGGTTTTAAAGTGTAGAATTACAGAATTTTATTCTGTATTCCTGTAAATGATCTGTTAGGCTACAGAATTAAAAGAGCCAGAACTGGTAAGGCAGAGACAAATATGTTTTGTGACTGTACAAAAGTATATTTAATATAGAGTAGGAGTGGGAGGTATACTAAGACATATTTACAGTTTCAGTTCATTAAAGAATTGATTGTTGGTATATCGTGATATCACATTGTTATTGTTATTATTAATTTAAATAAAATGAGTTCATATCATCCACCACTAATGCAGAGTGCTACTAAATTGGTAGTACAGTAGTTATAAAGACAGATCAGGTAGTGGGTTACATTCCGACAAGTTAGACGCCTATTATCTTCTGGCCATTTCCAGTTTGGTTTCATTCATTCAGTCTTTGTTGTGCTTCCTGTCTGGATAGGAGGCAGCACTAAGGGCGTTTTACATCCCAGACGAGCCGCAGGACTACGAGCTCCAGATTCACGCCCAGCAGGGCCTGCTCACCGATGACATCATCAACCGGAACGGCACACCTGACAACAAGGCGGTGTTTAAGGACAGTCAGCCGGAGGCGTGGCTTCTCCGAGCCAAACCCCGAGAGGTGGAGCTGCTGAAGATCTACGCTGGCTGGCTCAAGTGAGTTTTCCTAGACATTTGTTTATCCGTTTATATATTAATATATATACATACATACATACATACATCATCTAAACCGCTTATCCTTCTGGGTCGCGGTGGGGTGCTGGTGCCTATCCCAGCTGTCATTGGGCGGAAGGCAGGATACACCCTGGACAGGTCGCCAGTCCATCGCAGACAGACATACACATTCACACACATCTAGGGGCAATTTAGCATGTCCAATTAGCTTAACTGCATGTTTTTGGACTGTGGGAGGAAACCAGAGTACCTGGAGGAAACCCACGCAGACACGGGGAGAACATGCAAACTCTACACAGAAATGACCCTAGTTGCCCAGCTGGGAATCGAACCCAGGCCATTCTCGCTGTGAGGCAGCAACGCTACCCACTGCGCCACCGTGCTGCCCCATATATAAAAAAAACAAGAGTTGTGTTCAAAAAGTTGTGCACCCCTGGACAAATAATGTTTTGTTGATGTTTTTGTTGAAAATAAATTAACACATTCTACAGAGAACACATTTCTTCTCATTTTAATGCACAGTTACTGTTTATTGGCTGAATTTAATATATTGGAAAAAAAATGACATTGAATGTGATTTGTGTGAAAGTTATGGCACCTTTTATATTTTATGCTAGATTTTTTCCAATATAAAATCAGCAAATAAACAGAAATTGTGGACCTGTTTGTTACCTGTAGAGGTATTTTCATTTAGAAAATCAACAAACCTTGTCATTTGACTGGATGTGTTCAGACTTTTGCAAATGAGTGCAGTACATAAACAAAAAACACAATTCACATTTTATTGTAAATATGCAAAGCAAAATATATGAAGTATTTTAGTATTAGATGTAGAGAACTTGTGATTAACGAGATTTCAAAGTCTAATCCAAAATAACAGAACTGAATAGAAAAACAGAAAGCTGCCAAAGAGCCGTTCCCCAAGCGTGTAAAATCAGGAAAATAAAAGTAAAGCAGGACAATGAAAATCATACCGTCTGCTTGAAATACACATTGACTTTGTAAAACATTTTTGTAAACTTAAATGTCTTGTTAAGACAACATGACCACACTTTGCCTTTCTGGAGTTTATCTTCTGGTTTTAATCAGGAGGCATGTGAGTTACATTTATTTTTATCAACTCCCTGTGTAGGGACTAGTTACAAAGGGAGCATTTAGTCCCTGCTTGTAGGATTATCCTCAAGCCATAAAAGCAGACAGCTTAGCTAATGCTGATCAGAATAGAGTAATTCTACCATAAACTAATGGATTCTCATTTGAGTCAGTTGTATAAAGAAGTATTTTACATCCCAGACCTTGGGCGCCTCCAGATTAGTCAAGTGAGGTTAGTTCTATATCACTAATAGTAGTTAGGGAATAGAAAGGAAAAAGGGATCTGATATTAGTGAATCAAATGCATGAGATAATCATGTACGCCCTCAATGAATAATAACTTTCTTTAGTCATTAATTATTATTTTGATCTACTCAATCGAAATATCAAAAAATAAGTGATTATTTAAACATAATGAGTTACAGTTTTGGCTGTGTCCCAAACCAAACACTTCCATACTTTACATAAATGCACTTCTAGTGATGGTGCACTGTTTTTACACACTAATAAGGGCTGTAATGTGGGGTTTGGGATGCAGCCTTTTTCTCCTACCTGGCAGAAATGGGCTTCAGAAGGCACATACGTCAAACACATGGGCTGCATCCAAAACTGCGTAATACTATACTAAATAGTATGTCAAAAACAGTGCACCACCATTAGAAGAGCACTTATTTGTATAGTGTGCATAGTACTATAATACATTGTTTTGGACACAGCTGTGGTTATGCTGTGCTGCTCAAGTTATTTACGAAGTTTGATACGCATAGACGTTCTTAGCACACAAGCTGCTAAATTAGCCACCCCCTCCAGCACAGTCTTGGTAGACTGTCAGTAATTAGTGCCTCTTGTAGTAAATCTGGCCCTAAATGCCTGAAAATGTCTTTTTAATATTTTTTTTTTACTGCTAGAAGTATTACATTCTAAGATTATGCGTAAGGACCAGGTTGAAGGGCTAGAGGACGGCAGAACTGATAAAGTCAAAAGCATTGAAAATGAGTGAGCAGCAGGATGTCAATCAAGTGTGTTTATTAGAATATTAGGCCACACCCTCAACATTCTCAGATGGGTCAGATCAGTGGATTTAGCAGTGATTATTATTTTTTTTTTAGGGAAACTTTGTTGATGACCAGGGTCATTTCTGTGTGGAGTTTGCATGTTCTCCCCGTGTCTGTGTGGGTTTCCTCCCGCAGTCCAAAACATGCAGTCAGGCCAATTGGACGTGCTAAATTGCCCCTAGGTGTGAGTGTGTGAATGTGTATGACTGTCTGTCTGCCCTGCGATGGACTGGCAACCTGTCCAGGGTGTATCCTGCCTTCCGCCCAATGACAGCTGGGATAGGCTCCAGCACCCCACCGCGACCCAGAAGGATAAGCGGTTTAGATGATGGATGGATGGATGGATGGGTGGATGGATTGAAACTTTGTTGAGTGTATATTATAGCACTTAAGTTTACACACATAAATAAAAAAATGACATTATATTTTCTGGGACATAGAAAAGGTAGAGCTAGAGCAGACACAGCGGAGAGAGTGCCTTAATCCCGGGGAAGAAAAGAGCATCCTCTTAAAGTTGAAGTCCTGATCGCTTTAATAGGGCACTTTATATTCCTGCTGTACCAAACTAACCACATTTCCAAACAGTGCTAAGACAACAGTTTATATCATGTGCCTCACTATAGAAGAGTGTTTACAAATCGCATCAAGCACCCTTTTAGCCCTTTCGATAGCGTGATGCTGTTGTGAATGTTGTTGCCATGGCAACGTAAGGACACACACCAGCGACAGACGAGGTAGCTACGATGTGATTGGGTGTAGTGGAGTGCGGGAGCCTTTTGTTGTCTCTTAATGTGCAAGATGATGGCTGATGGATTACATATTACAGGGGGAGCCCATTGCCTCTGAGCTCTGCCTGCGACCCATTTATATTTGATGGGAAAAAGAGCATCACTCGCTTTCCGCATTTCCACCAGCTCAAGCTTTCATTTACGTGAAGTTGGAAGCAATGACGTCAGTACACCAACACTTTCTTTCCTTTTTTTCTCCTTGAGTGTAAAGTGTGCCGTGTTCCACAGAGTGTCATAAAAGGGTGCTTATGCAAGAAGTGATGTATATCTCCTGCTCCATTACAGCTAAATACAGAAAGAGTGATGAAGTCAGGCTTACACCAGCCATCCGTTAATGACACAGTCAACCAGTAATGCTGTTACATAACGCCCCTATAAAGCAGAAAAGTAGAGCAGGGCCTTTATAGCAGCTATTCGTATTAGTCTGACAACTCAGCACACATTACCTGCAGGCCTGCACAACTGAACTTTTACTGTATTTTAAAGTGGAGTTTATGATCCTAGAAGTTATTTAATTGGGAGAAGACTGCACAGTATTTGTTTAGTACTATGCTGCTAGATAGAGGTCTAGTTCTACAGTCGTTACACCCAAGGGTCAAAGTAAAGTTTGAACATTCCTTGTCAAAAAAGTTTTTTTTTTTTTTTTTTTTAAGCGATTGTAATTTAGCTAAACATAAGGTACAGGGTCATTCAAATAAAAACACTTTATTCCAAGTCCAATGCCAAGCAATGCTGCCACTTCATCATGACCAAGGTAGGAGGGTCTAATAGAGTGGACAGTGAGTGGACACAATGTTAAAAAACTCCAACAGCACTGCTGTGTTTGATCCACTCGTACCAGCACAAGACACGCTAGCACACCACCAGTGTGCAGTGTTACTGCAGTGCTGAAAATGATCCACCACCCAAATAGTACCTGCTTTTTGGTGGTCCTGTGGGGGTCCTGACCACTGAAGATTAGGGTAAAAGGGGGCTAATAAAGTATGCAGAGAAACAGATGGACTACAGTCTGTAATTGTACAACTACAAAGTGCATCTATGTAGTAAGTGGAGCTGATAAAATGGACAAAGAGTGTAGAAACAAGGAGGTGTACTTAAAGAAGTGGTCGGTCAGTGTAGTGCTTCATTAGAGCCACTCAAGATTTTTATGTTGTGATGATTTTGCATGAAGATGTGATGGAAATATGTCTGTGTATCTGTGTGTTTGTTTGGATGTATATTAACAGGCTTGGTGTTGCCTACATATCCATCACTGTTGGGAAGAGCAGCACTGTGGACTCTGTCATTAAGGAAGTGCTTACACAGCTTGGGAAAGAGGTAAATCCAGTATACACACAATACACAGCACTACTCCATACAGAGAAACCAAATATTAGGGATGCCCTGTAAGTGAACCTCATAGTAAGGATGGGCAATATGTAATTGTTATGATGATAAATTATGTGATGACTTATTGGAATTGTTACTTCTACACTTGCATAACTGCATGTATCACAAAAAGTTCAATTGTAAAGCGCCTGTAAACATAACAGTCAGTGTATAGTAAAGGCAATAACTGCATAAAAATTAGCTAATTAGATGTCAGCCCATTATACCCTTTTGTTGTTTTATTAACTTGTATTTACAGATTATTTAATGATTCCTACTGTTCCTTCTTAAATAATTTATTTTTGCAAAACAAAAATCATTTTGCTCACAGTACAAACATGATTTCTAAATAAGTTGGGGCGCTAAGTGAAATGCTAATAAAATCAGAAAGTAAATTGTGTTTTGACCTGTATTGAATTGAAAAAGTCCAAAATCTATCCGATGTTTTCCCTTAGGAACTTTATTGTTTTCCCTGTAAATATACACTCATTCCAAATTTGGTACCTGCAACACAAAGCTGGGACAGGAGCATGTTTACTACTGTGTTACATCACCTTTTCCTTTACCATCACTTAATAATTGTCTTGGGACTGAAGACAAGACCGTACAGGGCCTTCATTGTCATATTTTGCATCTTATAATTCACCACTCCTTCACAGATGTACAAGTTCTCCCCACCAAAGGTTGTTAATACACCCCCATACTGTGACAGACCCTGACTTTCAAGCTTTACGCTGGTAAAGCTGATAAAGAAAAAAGAATGTTCCTTTTCTTTGGTCAAAAGTTCAGAAACGTGCAGGCTTTCTAGACCTTGTTGACGTGACTTCTGTGCAAAACTACTTTTGTGCATGCAGCATCGAATAGTGTTTATTAACAATGATATTCCCAGGCCCATATGGTGATTCGGGGGGGGTTGCCGTCAGGGGGATTGAAGGTCACGGGCATTCAGTTGTGGTTTTCGGCACAGAGGTGCAGTGCAGAGGGTGAAATACCTAAAACCCTTCAAATTCTTATTATTCTTATTCTTAAACTGCTGGATTTTTTTGCTGAAATGTTTTTGACAAAGTGGCGAGCCTTGACCCATACTTGTGAAGGACTAAGCCTTTTCTGGATGCTTTTTTTATGACCAAGCATGTTTGCATCACCTGTTTAAGATGTTTATTGAACACTCGTAGTTAGAAGTGGGAGATATGTAAAATGCAATATCATGATACTTAGAGGTTTTTTACGATAAACAATATGTCACAATATAAATTTTTCTGACATCTGATAAGTTAGAACAGACATTTTAAAAATACTGTGAATCCAATTACTTGCATTCAACATTTTGCATACTAAACTGCACTAAATCCAATTAAATGTGACTAATTGTGCTTTCTTTTTAATCAAACATGCAGTTGGGAAGTGATTTAGTGAAGTACTGGCGATATCCATGATATACTCAGAAAAGGATATTGTGACCCATTATGATGTAATTTAACACAATAAAGATAAATGTTGTCCCAGCTCCATTCATAGTCTGAAAATCATCCCTGTCCCAACTTTTTTGGAGGCATCAGTTTCAGAATATGCAAAAGTATTAAAGTAAACCGTTAAATAGCTTGTCTTTGTACTGTTTTCATTTAAATACAGTAAAAAAATCAGTTTTTTGGATTTTTCTGTTTTCTCTATTTTTTGGAATTGAAGTTTGTGCTTGTTTACAAACATTGGGAATGAAATTATCTTGTTAAATTTACATTTATGACAATTAGAGTGATACATATGAAAATAACTCCCAGTAATGTGCTGTTATGAAACCAGTCTTCACTGATCTCTTTCATGCATGGCGTGTACAGATCAGGCCTTGGCTGGATGTTTTGCATAAGTATACATTAATGCATTGAAATGCAAGTAATGCCCATGTAATGCAGTGGCAGTTAACAGTGCCTGAAGAGGAAGAGGAGGAAACTCTGCCTATATAAAATTAATAAACCAATTTTCTCCCACTAAAATATGCATACACTAAAGCTATACCCCCCAGCCTACCTTCAGTAGACATCATTCTTTGTGGTGGCTTCATTAGCTTAGCAGTCTGTCCTGAACAGGGTTGAATGTATCTCTACATATAGTCAATATTTATGCATCTAAACATCTAGTTAACGTATTATTACTCTTTATGTTCGGTAATTCGATGTAATAACTACAGTAACCCTTAGATACTAAAGTAAGTAAAGTGTCTCACATTCAGGTGCATGTAATGACCTGTATATGACCATCACAACTGTTTTAATACAAATGAGCTGAAATGTTCTCCGTTCTGACCATGCCCAGGTTGGCATTACTGCGACTGGAGTAGTGTTCATCTAAAACTTTCTGTATGTGTGTTTTTATGTCTTTAGGATGAAAACCCAGCAGATTTCAATCTTGTAGAGGTTTTCATGAGCAGCAAACAAGGTAAGATAACATTTACTTCCTAAAGAAAGTGCTAACCATTCCATATTGTAAGTTATTATGCACAGTTCTAGGCAAAAGTCTTAAAATGAGATTAGAAGTAAACATTTATTTGCTGAAAAAATGAGTATTAGAATGAATACAAACAACATAAATGCAGTAAGTAGTGACTTTGATCCATTTCCAATCCTCTCCTCAAGGAAACCCAGTCTTTACAGTGTCCATTCAGTACCTAGTTTGGCTGAAATAATGTTGTTGGTTGGATTTGAACCAGGCATCACCCGTTTTCCACATCGTTAACACAACATATTGGGTTAACACATTAAGTGACCATATGAAAGTCGCAGGCATGTGTATGTTGAATGTTGTTAATTAATACAATGGAAGCAACATTTATAGAAATTGTAAGCAATATTATTAGAATGTAGCGCATTTTTGCAAAATATGTGTATTTTAAGTTATTATGCTAAAAGCAAAATTGATGTAAGTCAAGCTCAACGCTGTGGTCTACACTGGCATTATAGTTTTAGGTAATATTACTTTTTATGGGTTTTATTATAGCTTTATTTTTGCATAAGTTCCACTTTATCTGCTCAAGGTAGACTACTTATTTTGACATTTTAATCGCTGCAAACTTCATTAATGACACAGGTCAAACCACTGTAGCTCAAACTAAGGTGGTTCCAGCTAATGTGGTTCAAACTGCTGTAGTCCAGCTGAGTTATGATTTTGGGAAACAGTCATAAGTAGTAGATACCATTGAAATCGCTTGTTATTCAGCTTCAGCTCTTGTATGAGCTGGTGGAACTCCCCATGTTGTTGCCTTTTCTGTAGAAAAGGGTAAGTCCAGCGTGTGCATTGTTTAGTTACAGTGTTTAAAAGAAAAATGATGAATTTGTCATTGCTGCAGTTCAAGGAATCCATTTAGTCTTCCTCTTCCATCTTCTTCTCACATTTTCAGAGTGTTTAGATGAAAAAAAACTCTTGACTTTGTGTGAAGGTCCCACTAAGTTAAAATTCCCTAAAAATCGTACTTGGAATAAATAGGCCTTTAGACTGAAAAGCTCAATTCTCAGCCCTACTTAGCCCTCAGGCTAAAGCAGTTTGCCTATCAAATATATCCTGCCAACAGTTGTCCTGTGGTCAGAAACTAACCAGTGATAACTTAAATTCGCCCATAAAAATGATAAGCTATACCATATAAATCCAACAAGGTAAGTGTGTCTAAGGTGGCCAGTAAATGTACTTTTTAGAACTGATTATAGGACATTATGGATTATGCAGACTAATGCACGACTAAACTGTGTGTGGTGGTTTTGATGCTCCTGCAGTGCAGCGGCAGGTTCTGACTGGTCAGGAGCTCCTTCTGGAGAAGCTGAGAGAGATCAGGAAGGTATGTGAAGCAGATTCATAGTGAGCCTAGGAGAAGCACAGCAGTAATGCGTGGTGCACAAGCAGTTGAAAAACAGTCTGTTTTTTTTTTAAACTGCTCTCTCTCAGTTCCTTGTTTACTATGTGTGTTTCAGGTTTCTCTGCGGCAGATGAACCAGACCCGGTTCTACGTTGTGGAGAGCAGGAATCGGGTTGTGCAGGTTGACCTGCTGCTGGGAGGCTTTCCACTGCAGCTCAGCACAGAGGAGTATACACAGTTGCTTCAGCAACACCTGGCTATTAAGAGTTAGTTTCTCTTTAGCTGTAGCACACACAAAAATGTGCACATACATGTACATTTTTTGTGAGAACGTGGGGTCATACACACACACACACACACACACACACACTCATTGTCAAAGAAATTGTTGCATCCAGAAGGAAGTGTTGGATTGCAAAGCTATTCAGAAGAAAGATGAACATTACCAGGCACAGTAAATGAATGCAAATTTAGACTGATATGGGCAATATTTATTGAGCTACACATACAAAAGTAGTGTCTCTCAGTACGGCGCCAGGCCACCGTGTTTGCTAACGCAACATGACAAACATCTCGGCATAGAGATTCCCAATAGTGTCCTGCGATAATACATTCCATGCAGCTTGAATAATCTCACACAGTTCCTTCAGATTTTGCAGTAAGGGTGTTGAAAGCGCGTCCAATAGCATCCGACACATTCTCAGTCTGGGATAGGTCTGGCAATGCGGTTGGCCATGGTGTAGTATGTGTCTTCAAGGCAAGCTCTTGAGACGGCGGCAGTATGTGAACGAGCGCTGTCCTGTTGGAATAGCGCACCAGAGTGTGCGTTCCGAAAAGGTAGGGCCACTGGTTGCATTAATGTAACATTGGGCTGTCAAAATGCCTGTAATGAAGACCAAAGGTGATCTGGCATCGTACAAAATTGAACCCCACACCATGACACCAGGCCTTCTGGACGTGTGATGCGTGACCACAAACCGTTCATCTTGGCGCTGACCACGGTGCCTCCACACACGGATTCATTGGTCGTCTCCACCAAGACAAAAGCGGAACTCATCACCGAAGATGACCCGCTGCCATTCTGAGTCTGGCGTGACACCATTGCAGTCTTTGGCGACGTTGACGTGGTGTTAAGGGCAGTCGTCGTAACGGTCTGCGTGCATGTAGTCCTGCGTCGTGCAGCCGTCTGCCAATGGCGCTGACATTAACAGGATGACTCATGGAGGGCATCACTGCTCGCTGAATGTCCGCAGTCGTGGCTGTTGGGTCACTCCGCGCATGTCAGACAATCCGTCGGTTGTCCCTCTTCGTGGTTCGTGGTCCTTCATGTCACTGGTGCATGCCTTCCTCTATCCACTGCTGCCAACAGCTGCTATGGTAATATCCATACGACCGGTGTGGCGCGCTATATGTTGATAAGAGCATTCCGCTTCCCGAAGCCCTACGATGCGGCCCCTCTCGAAGTCTTCCAAATGCCTGAAAAATAATGTTATTGAATTACCGAAAGGAATAAATACTCTTGATGAAGCTTATTTTGTTATTTTGTGCTTTATAAATAGAAGATAAATCTTTCTTTAGGGTTAAATTTGAGCAAATAAGACAAATGTGATTAATCAAGATTAACTATGCAACATGATCTGATTAATCATGATTATTTTACTCATTTGACAGCTCTAAAAATAAAATGAAATTATTAGTTACATAATCGTTATCACACAGATACTCTTTCATATCCTCCCCTCCTCTGTATCTTTGTCTCAGTGCATGTGTTTTTGTGTGTTTTGGCCTGTCTGCTGTACAAGTTGTTTGGATTTGTATGTCTCAGGCAGTCTTCATTTGATTAATCATCCTAGGAAACTGCATTAGAACAGTACTAATGCTGGCCTTAACCCTGCTGTTATAGATGTTGTTATCTCTGTCTCTCTCTCTCTCTGTCTTTCTCTCTACAGGTCACTTGGTCACCATCACTCACGTGTATGCCGGACAAGGTGAGAAACCCATTGCCGTAGCAACATTCCATGGCAACCGTTGGCCTACACCTGGGCTCTGGGGATAGAAGGAGAGAGAATAATATGCTGTGTGTGTGTGTGAGAGAGAGAGAGAGAGAGAGAGAGAGACACACAAACAGACAGGGCTTCCTCTGTTCAGTAGCATTGTTTTAGAAGGCAGTCACTGTTCCAATCCAGACTTTTAGTTCTATAAGACTCTATTCAATGCTACTGATTGTCACTAGTGGTGTGTGTATCAGGATAAACAGATCGCTGTGTGTGCATGTGTAGACTGTGCCATGGTTGAAGCCTGTCCTACACACATTGATCTATAAATGAGTGCCTTGTTACAAACACACTCGCTGCCACGAGGAAGAGCTGGCAGTTGCCCCTTATCGCCTCTGCTGCCTCAACATTGGATTTCCAACAATTTTATAGCATTTCCTCAGGTTTCTGAGTGGAGCAGCTCAAACAGCCTGAAATCAGGGGTCAGTATTGCCTGGTTCCCCTGGACATGACATCTCAAATTCGGCCATTAATGCTGTTTTTCGCAAAAAAACATTGCATGGTTACAACTCGCTCATTTCCACTATCATCTGAACTGTCCCAGAGTACCGTTGCTGAATTTTGTTGCGCTTCCTGGCAGGGTATTGTGTGTGTGGAACTAGAAGTGGTGCAGATTAATCAAATGCTAGTCATCACAGAATTTAATTCATTTCCCCATAGAGAAAAACAGCTTAGACCCAGAGATCCTAATATGGGCATAATGACGACAAATACAATGTATACATGAACATGTTTGTATAATTCTGACCAACAATTCTTCATTTTGGCCTCAAGATTCATTGGCTAAGATGGCCTGAGTGTCTACCTCGCCTTCAAATTATCCGATGAATCCAAAAGGCTCAGACTCTCCTAACCTCAGATAACCCTGCATCCTGTCTCATCATCAAGATTAAATGTTCAAGGCAGTAATGCTGAGTTGTGTGCAGGTGTGACCGGGTGTGTGTGATGTTTGTGCTGGTGCAGGTGCGGTGGCCCTACAGATCAGCTGTTTCTCTGAAGCAGAGCGGATCTACATGCTGGCCAAGGACACAAACGTTAACGGCAAACAGCTCACCTCTCTCGTCATCCCAGAAATCATGGTAAGCATTTCACTTAGTCACTTACTCACAATCAGTCAGTTAGTCAATCAGTCCATATATGTGTATGTATACATATATGGAGTTGGTCCCCCTTTGCAGCTATAACAGCTTCCACTCTTCTGGGAAGCTTTCTACAAGATTTTGGAGAGTGTCTGTGGGAATTTTTGTCCATTCATCCAGAAGAGCATTTGTGAGGTCAGACACTGATTCTGGACAAGAGGGTCTGGCTCATAATCTCCGTTCTAGTTCACCCTAAAGGTGTTGGATGGGGTTGAGGTCAGGGCTCTGTGAGGGCCTGACTTTATGGACCTTGCATTGTGCACAGGGCACATTCATGCTGGAACAGAAAAGGTTGTTCCCCAAACAGCATTAAGATTTCCCTTCACTGGAACTAAGGGGCCTAGGGAAACCCCTGAGAAAAAACCCCATTGCATTATCCCTCCTCCACCAAACTTTACAGTTGGCACAATGCAATCAGACAGGTTATGTTCTCCTGGCATTCACCAAACCCAGGCTTGTTCTTCAGACTGCCAGATAGAGAAGCGTGATAGGGACACACCTCCTAATTATTATTATTGAGTTCAAGTGTTTTGGCCACACATGTAAGCTAATGGGGAACTTCTGGGATTGCCTTATTTCTTAATGCTAACAAACACCCACTAGTCCTTTAAGCTTTGATCAAAGACATTACAATCAGACAGCAGAAAAAGAAGCAGCTAAATGTGTGTTCATTGACTGCAAAGTGGAATTCTGTCAATGCTGTCAAGTTTTTTATTCTACAGTAGAAAATTTGATGCTTGTCATTTTAATAATGTTTTACATTTTTATACTTAATAACATGTGAATTTAATAGTGTGGATTTAATTAAACTAAACATTAAACTAGACATCAAAATGTATTTTTAGGAGATTTGGGCAGTGCTAGTACTTTTGGAACAAATTGCTATAAATGGCAAATATTATAATGTGATTATCTACTTAATTGCACCTTTAGAATCACATATGGCTCTGTTCATTATTCTCTAACTGCAAACAATTTAGTGTTATATTACTGAAAACATTGATTCCATACTTCTAAACTGTTATTCTTTGAATGGAAGTGTGTATGTGTAATTTTTTTGCATCCAGCACTGTAAAAGGCATTATAGAAGATGGGCCGAATTGAAGTTACTCACAGAAATACTCATCTGGAACTGTAAATGGATCAAATGCTTGTAGTACAAAAATTGTGATTGGTTAAAAGGCTGATTTGCATATTGCAGCATTCTGCACTGGTAATATTGCAAAAGTGAATATCACTATACAGATTATCAAACAACGTATTGCGCAGCCCTTAATGTCTTTTGTTTGTAATTAGTCCATTAACTGTGACATATTGCATGTGTAATTATTATCAGTGCTGCCCTGCTGAACAGTAATGCACCGCAGTATCTAAATGCTAGACACCAGCGCACTCTAGTGGACAGCTGGGAAACTGCAACACAGTTCTTTCTTGATAAATAGTAAAATAATCTGTGCTGTTCCTTTTCCTTTTTCATTGTTTCACAGCAAAGCAAGCTGGCCAAAGGTTCTTGTCCCCTGCTGGTCTTCGTCAATCCTAAAAGTGGAGGCCTGAAAGGCAGAGAGATCCTTTATGGCTTCCGGAAACTTCTCAATCCCCATCAGGTGTTTGAGCTGACCAGTGGAGGGCCACTACCCGGGTGAGATCATGTGTCTGCCCATAGCTTCTTTAGAAAAACGAATCACAGTTGGAAGATTTAGGTGTATAACCTCATCAAATGTGCCAACAAAATGTATGTTCTGCTATAACATCTGTGCTCTAAAATCTGTAATTTGCTCCAGAACCTCAATTCCTGGAAATGGTTCCTAATATTAAGTTGTGTTTATGGCAGGCTGCACACGTTTCGGGAGGTGCCCCACTTTCGGATGCTGGTGTGTGGGGGAGATGGGACAGTGGGCTGGGTGTTGGGAGTGCTGGAATCCATCAGACACAAACTGTCCTGCCCTGAGCCAGCTATTGGCATCATCCCTTTGGGCACAGGTGAGCACTGACCATACCTGCACTAATAGCCACTTTTATAGAGTCCTCTTTTTAAAAAAAAAAAAACAAAACATTTTATGTTCTATATATGATCTACCCAGTCCACTTGTAGACTTTAGTAATGCAAGATATCTCTCTTCATGTTTGTGTGTGTTTAGGTAATGACCTAGCACGTGTCTTGCGGTGGGGTGCAGGCTACAGTGGAGAGGATCATTACAGCATCCTGGTGTCAGTGGACGAGGCAGAAGAAGTTGAAATGGACCGCTGGACCATTCTATTTGACGCTCAGGAGATGACGGAAGATGGCAAGCAAAACGGCTTCCTGGAACCGCCTAAGGTACCACTTAATTTCAGCTTGTGTTTGTGAGTCCACCTACACCTAGCCATTCAAAATCCCTTTGAAAATGTGTATTTATCTGATTGTCTTTCTGATTGTCTTGTGTTTGTGTTGTAGATAGTCCAGATGAATAACTACTTTGGCCTGGGGATTGACGCTGAACTCAGCCTGGACTTCCATCATGCTCGAGAAGAAGAGCCGGGCAAATTCAACAGCAGGCCAGTACTTCAGTACAGTGCTATATACTGAAGTTGGGTTGCACGATATGAACAAAACACCATATTGCTGTTACATTGCTAAATATAGCGATTAAGATATACCTTGCGATATGTTATAAACACATTGGTTAACCCTTGATGTGACATGGTTAAAAATTATCAACCATTGTTCTAATTTGCACTGTTGCATCCATCTGTTTATTTTAAATTAATTTATACTTTGCAGGTTTCATAACAAGGGCGTGTACGTGAAGGTTGGCCTGCAGAAGCTGAGCCACACAAGAAATCTCCATAAAGACCTAAGACTGCAGGTAGACAAGCAGGACATAGAGCTGCCCAGTATAGAGGGACTCATTTTCCTCAACATCCCCAGGTGAAACATTCTGCATTCATAATATATGCACATACATACACATAAATGCATCTCACACCCTACACACAATCACACTCTGTCCATATAAGCATTCACCATATCCTACATTTTTTGCATTTTATATTTTTCTCCTGAGGTCAGCTTGTCAACGCTTGTGTGGCTTTATGAACCAAAAACAGTCATAATTAGTTTTGAACGTAATAATAACCATCCAACCTCTCTTTAGAATGAGTCAAGCTGTTGCTGTTGTTACTGTGCCTTTAAGACCGGTATATGTTAAAGTCTTCTGTTCTGATTGGCTGTCCTGTATTGTCCCACATTCTGGGCTGAAATACTCCTTATAACTTCACCATGAATGGGTGGAGCTAAATTGCTGTCGGCTGAATGGGGGAAGTATGTAAATGCATTCATTTTTAATGACATCACAAAAACAGTGAATTCAAAACAGGCTGTTTTTGTGCAGTACTTTTCATTTATGAAACTTTAACAGTGTTTACATACTACATCAAACTCTTTTACTTAAATAACTTTCTATGGGCCATTTAATCAGTTGTAGCACATATGCAAGTTCATATTTTATTATACACTTCTAATCAGAAGTTTTGGGCTCCCAAGCTTTTGAACATGGTTTTAATACAAATTTTTAAATTCTTAAATAAGAGAGTTTAATGTGGTTTGTGAGCTCTGTGGAATTTTCATAGTTCACTCCCAGCCCATACAGTCATCGTAAAAAAAGGTGAATGAGGTACAATACAGAGGAGCCAATCAGAGCAGAGTCCATTTACATATAATTCTTAAAGCTGCAGTAACAAACAGCATGTTTCATTCAAGTATAAATAGAGACTGGAAAAGGTCCTTTTAAATATTGGCCTCTTTTAAAGAACGGCATTTACTCTGAGGAAAACAATCACGAATAAATATCATGTAAAAATATAAATTAAACATAACTTTGGATGGGAAAGATATGCACACATACTCATACTCTCATGTTTGCGGCTGTGTGTGTGGTTTTATGTAGCTGGGGCTCTGGTGCTGATCTGTGGGGTTCGGATAGTGATGCACGCTTTGGAAAGCCTAGGATAGACGACGGCATGCTGGAGGTAGTAGGAGTGACCGGAGTGGTTCACATGGTGAGTCTGCTCTCTTTTCCTGAACTATTATTCGCTCAATCAGTTATTCAAACTGTAGCACCTTCTGCGATTTCTTCTTGATTTGCTTGCCACAGCACCACCAGCATTCAACAGCCTGTCTGTATAAAAGCCAGTTTCTTCTGTTATGATGCCACAAAACAGTAGAATCTGTTGTGCCCCTTATGCCCTCTGTAGTATTTTGCTGTCTATGCGTCATATAAACATTGTAGAGCATTTGAAAGTGTGATGTATGATGTTCTATTATTTTTTTTTTTTCATAAATGAGCTGAGCTGAGCTGAATCAGATACGTTATAGCATTATTTTTATATTGTAGTAAAGGGATCAGGAAAAACTGGGGTGGTTGAATTGTTGTCTGTCTCTCAGGGTCAGGTCCAGAGCGGGCTGCGCTCAGGGATCCGAATCGCCCAAGGCAGCTACATTCGCATCATAGTAACCAAGCCCATCCCGGTGCAGGTGGACGGGGAGCCGTGGATTCAAGCTCCTGGGCAGATTATCATCTCCGCCGCTGGACCGAAGGTACACCCACACAACTCAAACACAACCTTTCTGTTTATATAAAAGTCTTGAAATTCCTGCAAAATCTCCAATGACCTAATTAAATATCAACGATTTTTGTAATTTGATTATCCATATTTTTTAAAAAAGTGTTTACAATTCAAACTTTCCAATAAGAACATATTTTATATTGAGGCTATAATATAGTAATAATTATACAGAGGTTACTTACTCATTTTCAGTCAAAATGACCAACATTTACCTTCTTTAGAGCTTTCATTTCGGGCATTTGCACTGGGATATTTTTACACACCTCAAAAGTTCAGTCTTAGAAGTTGGTTGTGAGCACAGTCATTTTATGCTTATCACAATTTAAGTAAATCTAAGTTTGTTTAGTGATGTTGAGATCTCTGGGTGGTCAGTCTATTGTTTTGAGAAGACAAGCAGCATTTTTATATGATTTGCCATTAAGTACTGTTTATCTGATGATGACCGTTTTGGTGGCCTAAGAGGTCTTGCAAGGATGTTAGTTCAGTTGTCTCTCTGTCACCTCAGCTGTACTTGTGTTCTTTTGACTTTCCCCTTCTTTATACAAATGAATGACTTAATGGTTGTTTTGCCTGGAAGATAAAATTCATTATTAAATAAAGAATGATGGTATCTGACGTTTACCAAGTACTGTAGGTGCATATCATTTATCGTTGATGTAGAGAACGATAAATGACACAACTTGCCTGTTATTTTTTTATTCAAAATATTCCACTTTGTTGTGGCCATAATAAAGCTACTTGTGTCCCAACATGTTCTGCAGTAGTTTAGTGAAATATTGAAGTCATTATTTTTACAGCTCTTTCCTCTCTTCTGGTAGGTGCGCATGCTAAAGAAGTCCAAGGTCAAGCCGAAGAAGCAGTCTAGCAGTCTGAGGGAGGGAAGAGCCGAGAGCCCAGTGCCAGGGGAAGGAGCAAACTGATACTCAAACACTTACGCGCTGCCAGCTCACCATGATGTGGGCCACCGAGTTAACAAGGCTGTGCGCATGGCCTCAGTGGGGTAATACAGCCCAGACATTCATAACGAGCGCTCACAGCGTCCAGAGGATTAGAGGAGACATCAGCAGAAACGGAATAATATTTCAGATTAAAAAAAAAAAACAAAACGAAAATAAACTCAGAGCGTGTAGTGTTTAGGAGGTATGGTTCCAATACAAAGGAAATCAAGCTCACTTAAGCACCCTTGTCTTGTCATTTATTTGATTGTGCCCCAAGATGAAGATGCTGAGCATTTGATGTAAATTAGAAGGGCATTGCTTTGAAGTAAAGATGTTTAGAAACTAGAAGGAGCAAAGCAGAGTGGTTAGGGAACGCGAAAGACAGCTTTCACTTATAGCACATTTTCCTTTTTCTGTTGTTACTCAGTGACTGTAAATTTAGCTCTTTAAAAAAGTTTAGCTCTCTTGTGCTGCTTTGAATGTAATTGCCATTACATGTAATTGTAATTAATCGTAATTGCCACTGCAACAAACACTGTGTTGGTTGTACCAAGTAAAAGCTTTCCTTGAGCACTTACACCAAGCAAAATTACAGTCAGCAAATGAAGTCTCTTTTTTTCAGAGATTTCTATTGAGTTTACATCTACTTTTCTTTCTTTTTTCACTCTTCGATTGTTACTGTTGCTGTGTAACCGGTGTCTTACCTGAATTTTACATGCAGTAGCAAGAACTTGTAGCTTTTTTTCACTATGCACTACCGTCCAGAAGTTTGGAATCACTTTTTCAAAAGTTTGGAATCAATGTTTTTTAATAATATGCTGCAGATACATGCAACTACAATGCTACTATTCTATGGGGTTTTAAGGTTGTAGGCCTGGTGACTCTAACAGAGTTACTGCAGCCCCCAGCGATGGTAAAAATTAATTTAACACTGCTTTGAAAAAAGTTTTCCCACACGTGACCATAACTGAACAATTAAACAAGTTGAGTACCCTGACATCAGGCCTAGATCATCCCATGGGATTTATGGACATAAGCCCAGAGGTCCAAGCCAGAAGGGGGCTCCTGCGAGCAATTTTGAGAAAATCTGAACCACGATTTCACAGTAGGAACTTTGCTAGCACCAAGAAAAAATGAAATCATTTCAGATTTGTCATTGTGTTACGGGCGATCACCAGGAACCAGGGAGAACTTAGATTTTTTTTCAGCGAGGAAGTGATTCCAAACTTTTAAACGGTAGTGTACGTGCACAAACATTCTCACACTGTGCCTATAGTCTGCATAAAAATGTCAATCAAAGCAAAATAACATCAGTCGGACTTAGCGGAGCTTCTTACACTCCTACTAGATAGATGATGAGGGAAGTGTCAGCTGAATGTCCGTATCTATAAAGAAATGCATCTTGGTGAAGTCTGATGAAATTGCTTTTTCAAAGACTAAAGCAGCTGAGTTTGGGGGGCGGTTTTAAGTCGTCTGAGGCAAGTTTTGTGCTTTGACTTACAACGGATACCATTAGGTAGAGGGAGCTAGTGTGAGGTCAGTAAACAAGAACAACTACTAAATGGAGCTTTTGTGCTCAGTTGTGTTAAGTGACACGTTCCCTTTGGTTGGTCATAGTCATGTGGTCATGTCAATCAATTGCGGCCTTTCCGGTCAGAACTCCCGTTCTGTTACAAGCATGAGCGTTTTAGCATTGTGACGTGAGTGTGTGTAGATGAACTCTCGTCCCGGAGTAATTTACACTGTTCATTATGGTGTACTAGACAAATGATTGCAGAGTTGTAACCGTGTCCTATTGTAAAGCTGTACAGTAAATATCTAGGTGCAAGCACAATGCTTCAATATATAGTAATATATATGAGTATATACTGTGTCGTACTGTATACATGTATTTGATGTACAGTGACTGGTCAGTCCTGTTCCAACAGAGTGTATTTCTATGAGGCTGACTGAACATGTATTTATAGTATTCAGTTAAACTGTAGTAGAGGTGTCGAAATCCTTAGCCGGCTTGCCCATCGTACTCAGACAACGCTGAATTTAGAACAAATAGGCTGCAAACTCAAACACATAACTATTCTTTCTTTTCATCTACCTCTGTGGTCTTCACTCCTGGTTCTGCTACTTTCTACTGAACTCTTGAATCTTTTGCTTTCAGGAGATGGCTGGCCCACCTGGTGTCTAAAATGCTAACACACCAACCTTCCTTCCCCAGCCCCTTTCCCCCAAAATGTAAAAATGGAATACTCCAGTGTTTTTCAACCAGCATCTGTATCATGTTTATCACAGAACAAAAACAATATATGTAGAATCAAAACTCACTTATAATAGAAGTCAGGGGGCAGGTGCTTCAAGAAACGCTCAAGTATTCCCTTAAATAAGCGAAATTCTGGATGCCAAAGGACTGATTTGATTTTTTTCGAGAGGTTGAAGCCTTATGCACTGCAAGGTCGGGTGCCACCATCCAGAAGTATTCCAAAATAATCCTATCAAAGACGTACAATCATTGTAATGTGGTCAGATGAAAGCTCACGTAGCAGCACCGGCCTGGGCACTGTCTCGTGTCCTGGTCTGTGGTGCTCTTCTTTAGCCTTAGTTGGGCTGTTCTAAGATTAATAATAGAAATTGAATTGAACGCATAGCTAACTTGAATCACAATTGCATCGTTAACTGAATAGAATTCTCATACTTTGGAGTCCATGATAGAAATAGAATTCTAATTCTTTGAAGTCATAGAAGTAGAGTTCTTTTTCTCCAGAGGTGATTACAGGAGTAGAATTCTAATTCTCTGTTTATTCATCAAGAATAGAATCCTATTTTTTTTTATCATTGGACCCAAAAATGAATTTTAATGCTGTTATAGTTGATCATATTAAAGAGATTCTAATTATCCAAAGTTTCTAATTCTCCAAAGTTATTCATGGAAATAGAATTCTAATTTTGTGTGTTGTGATGGAAATAGAATTCTAATTTTGTGTGTTGTCATAGAAATAGAATTCTAATTTTGTGTGTTGTCATAGAAATAGAATTCTAATTCTCCAAAGTTATTTATAGAAAGAGTTCTAATTTTGTAGATGTTATATCGGAAATAGAATTCTAATTTTGTGTTGTCATAGAAGGAAAAATTCTAATTCTCCAAAGTTGTTTGTTAAATAGAATTCTACTTTTGTGTATGTTATCATGGAAATAGAATTCCAATTTTATGTTGTCATGGAAATAGAACTCTCTAAAGTTATTCATAGAAAGAGTTCTCATTTTGTACATGTTATCATGGAAATAGAATTCTAGTTCTCTAAAGTTATTTATATAGTATTCTAATTTTGCGTATGTTGTCATAGAAAAGAGTTCTATTTCTCCAAAGTTAAACATAGAAATAAAATTCTAATTCTCCATAATTAATCACAGAAATAGAATTCTAATCAACCTGTCTGCGCCTTCAGTAAATGAGTTCTTTTGTAGCTACTGTTGTGAGATTGAATAAGCTTTGCAAAGCTTTGGCAAAAATACACCTAAAAAAAATTGCAAAAATTCTATAAAGCTTGTCCAACCTAGCAACAGTTGCTACGAAGGCATGCATTTGTGGGTGGGGATAGACCAATACTGTGTAGTTCAGTTAAAATGAAATTCTATTTCTGTATAGAATTCCCCTCATAGTGCCTCATCCAAGTGCTTCTAGAACCTCCGCAGTATCAGTGTACTGTACGTGTCATGTCCTGATAGAAGTGGCCCTTTTACACGACTGAATAATATACCGCTGAAGATTTTGAGCATTTAAAATGTTTATATTTCTGTAAAAAACTGTCCGAGATGACTGAAGGACGTCCTCTGTGATAAGTCTGTTTCTCTATATTGCACCGACAAACCACATCAGTTAATCAAAATCTAGATGCCATTAAGTCTATAGCTGGAAAGTGTCTATGTTTGAAGCCAGTGCTTCTGTAAACAGCCACACTTTGCATGGAATGTGTGAGTTATATGCAAACAGGCTTTCCACAGTGGAAAAGATAATATAAACATTGATAGATTTATATGAATGCTCAAAATTGCGTGCAGCACATCTTTAAGAAGGACTGTTTCGAGCAGTAACCTTCCCCACTGTAGAAGAAACCGCACAACTGAACTGAGATCAGCGTAAAAGGGCTGCTTCTCTCAGCGACCGTGTGTTTATCCCCTCTGTTCTAACCGTTCTGCTGCCTCAGTGGATGTTGGAAGTGTTGGAGAACCTGTGCTGTTCTAGGTTTTTAGAGCTTCTGTGCCTCCAGGTGACTTTGTTTGGTCAATTCTGTACTTACATTAGATTCTAATCTGATGTGGTTTAAGGTTATTATGATTTTTTTCTTTTTTACTGATTGAAAATCTAGGGTTAATGTTCCGAGAACTATATTATACAGTAGATGTATATTTTTGAAAAGTGGTTTTTAATTTTAACTGCAAAGAATATTGCACTGACTGTGGTGTTGTACAATATTCTGTGTTGAATGAATGTTAATTAACTAAATGTATAGCTATTGACATGAGATGTATAACAAAAGAATGTCTTACTGAAAGAAAATATAAATTTCGACTTTTTGATACGATGCCGAATGATTTGTCGTTTATTTTCCTCTCATATTTTACGTTTCATATTCTTTGTTCATATTTTCCTGACTCTGTAAAGCCCCTGCCGCAAACTCTTAAGGCTCTTTGATTTCAGAAAATATGGAGTCGATGCAGAACGAATGATTTCATATTCACATATGATATTTTTCTCCAGTAGCTTTATAAAGGTGGGTGCAAAAGGACTATGTTTAAATTATCATTGCTTAGAACCAGGACAATCAGGTACCACTTAATTTTAATGTAGAACACATTGATTTCTGTGGACATTTGTAACCACTTTGAGAGCTAACCGTCTACAGATTATACTGCACGTGGTAATCATAGGGGTCCAAGCACCTCATGCCTTATATACAGTATATACCTTTTATCAGATAGAACACAAATTATGGGCAGAGTTTCTAGAGTGGCCTCAGTTTAAAATATCTGTAGAGGAGAGATCTCAAATGATGTCTGTCACTGACCTTTTGACCTTGGTAAGCAATAGCTTCTTTTAAACAAATAAGTAAAAATACCTGGAAAGCAGGACAGTATTTGGCATGACTATTGGCATAGTTGTTGAACTCAATGAACTGAATCCTTTTACAGCTGGGGTACCCGGTGCTGGACTTAAAGATCCAGCACCCTTGCTGCAGCCCACACCAGTTGATGCATCTAAACATTAGAACCAGGTGTGGTCCAGGACCAGGTTTTGGCAACCCTGATCTACAACAATTCCTTGTTTATCTGTATTTTATGCCTAAAACGAACCAAAATGCTTAACTTCTTAAATCACTGTTTCTCTAGGAAATAAAGTGAAATTTCTCTGGAGGACCAAGCCTCTGGACCGTGTGCAGTTTTGTTTTGGAACTTGTCACATCTTTCACTGCTTGTCTGTATTTGGTAGGTGTGAAATTATTATCCTCATGATTATATATTTTACCATGTGTTCTGCTGAATGTGAAACACACTGTATATGTGTGTAATAATATATTCAAATGTACTCAGATACACTGTGAGATAATTAAGAGCGCGTTCAATTTGAAGGCATTTATTTGGCTCCTAAATAGGAACTGTAACCCCATAATAGAATCGCCACTGATCTCAAGTAGTAAAAAAAAAAGTGCTTAGACAACTTAAGTTTTACTAGAGATGGAACTGGTTACAACAACATGGAACAAACAAGTGAAAAATAGATAATTTTAGACATTACATGTTGATCGTAAATATGTGAACATGTAAAAATAGACTTACATTAAGAATCAAAACCATCTTTTTTTAAAAAAAAGTTCATCTGTAAAAGTGTTAGTTAATGATCAGTTCTACTGTATTGCTTTTGGTTTCTCAATCTCACTCCAGCTTGTGCTTTTTAGGTGTTTATAGTGTTGGCTGGCACAGTAAGATTTAAGGCACGCAGTGTTGAAGCACAGGGAAGTCAGCTCAGCCCAGGTTAATATTTCCGGCGAACATGGTGATGAGGAAGATGACTAAGAATCCTGTGAGCAGGCCAGCATTCTGGATGATGAAGAACACAAGTTCAGTCCTTCTGCTCTGCTGCTGTTCTTTAGCAATGGCATTCATCTCGGGAAACTGAGAGAGAGAAAGAGAGGAGCTTGAATTGAGCCTGTAATTTTGGTCTGAGCTCATATCATCAAGGTTTTAGCCTGAACCCGACCCAAATCAACCCATTTCATAAAGTTTTATGTCGGAACCTGACCCAACTAGAACCATATCACTTCATTTTTAGTATGAACTTGACCCAATTCAAAACATTGTCCAGTTTTAGTCTGAACCCCATCCGACTCAAACCATATCAGGTTTTAGGTCTGAACCCGACCAGATTTGAACCATATCAAGTTTTGAGTCTGAACCTGACCCGACTCAAAACAAATCCAGTTTTCAGTCTGAACTTGGCCCAAGTTTTACGTGTAAACCCAACCTGACTAAAACCATAACATCAAGTCCTAAGTCTGAACCCAACCTGACTTGAACCATGCTATCAAGTTTTAAGTCTGAACTCGACCCGAATTGAACTGTACTCTCAGTTTTAAACCTGAACCCAACTCAACTCCAAACATATCACATTTTGAGTCTCACCCCGAGCCATCTTGACCCTGACTAAGTCTAAACCCAACCTGACTGAACATATCAAGTTTTGAGTCTAAACCAGACCCGACTCTAACCATATAATCAAGTTTTAATTCTGAACCTGAGCCAACTTAACCCATATCAAGTTTGGAATCTGATCCCAACTAAGTTTAAACCCGACCGACTTTAACCATATCAAGCTTTAAATCTGAATCCGACCCAACTCAAACCATATCAAGTTTTCAGTCTGAACCCAACCCAACTCGAACCACATCGTCAGATTTTTAGTCTGAACCTGACCCGACTTGAACCATACCACCAAGTTTTGAGTCTGAACCCGACCTGGCTTGAACCATACCACCAAGTTGACCCGACTCTGACCATATCATCAAGTTTTGAGCCTGAACCATCAAATTTTTGGTCTGAACCTGACCCGACTCAAACCATATCATCGAGCTTTAAGTCTAAACCTGACCCAACTCAAAGCATATCACTTTCTTTGCCTGGCCCCAAGCCAACTTGACCCATATCATCAAGTTTAGAATTTGACCCAGACTTGTCTTGTACCATATCATCAAATTTTGAGTCTGAAACTGGGCTCAATAAAATTTTGTCCGAAACTGAATAAAACCTTACAGGATAGTGCCAGTTAAATTACCACTTAGCGACAACAATTGTCATCATTAGATCACGGATAAAGTTAATGTCCATTTTAATGCATTTATTCCAACTTTTTACAATTTTTTATTCGTTTGTTCAAACACAGTGCTTTCAAATTGCATCCCAGACCTTTTTAGTTTGAATAAACATCCCATAATGTGCTGTTCTTTTGCTGATATAGCCGCCAACAGAACGGCCACTAGAGGGCCTGCAGAAAGAGGTTAAGACTGATATATTAAAATGACCACTGTTCTGATCATCTGTTTTACTGTTTACTTCAAACACGTTTAGTTAAAGAAAGGCAAGGAAAATACAAGCTATAATAAAACAATAAATAAAAAGGCTGTAATGAAGCACAGGAGCGACATCACACAGAGCATGTGGATATCAGGTGCTCAGATCCGGGTGGTGCTGCTCACTGCCGGCTGAGTAGTAAACCTGTGATGATTTACATGCCTGAATTATATCAAGTCTAGATAAGGGTCAGGAAGAGCTGATCTTCATATAGAGCACCCATCATCCACACTCACCCAAAACAGCTGACTGAAACTATTCTTTTACACTTTGGCTGAGCATAAAAATCATTCTGATTAAAATATCTTATCTCTGGTTCATTACTATGTCCTGTTTTAGGGGAAATGAAGGAAGCAATAACAGGCTGATGAGGTCATAAACATTTGCTGGTGTGGCATATTCCTGCAGTACACAAGCAGAGCTCTGTTCAATGCCCTTCTGTTCAGACGTGCAGTGTAACTCATTAGCGATGCACTCCTTTGTATTGCTTTTGGACCCATTTTATTTGTTAACTGTTTGTTTTAACCTTACCAAATTTTATTAATACATATTTTTTTCCCGTGTATTTTCTTATGGACCTGTAAAACCCTTTTAAAATAGTTTTTAAAAGGTTATATAAATGAAACATTTTATTATCAGGCCTCATTCCCCAATCATTCTTAAAAAGAAATTTCGTCTTAAAACCCACTTGCGCAGTTTTGACGAAGATTCCGACATCAACCAGTGTTTTCTCGTTTGGGATTTGTTCTCAGGTCAGAACAGAATCTACACACATGCAAGAGCACAAAGGTGTGAACATTTCTGTGGTTTAAGAACACGTCATGAATCTGATGTAGGCTTTTTCTTAGGGCCTTTCTCACAAACAAATTTAAGAAAAAACATTGGTGAATGAGGCCCGTTGTTATTATTTAAAGGGCCCATATGTTGAAAAAAAATTTAAAAATCGTCCTTTTTTAAAATAAGAATTTGATGTAATATATACACACTGAGTGTGTTTACATACACTTAATAATCCAATCATAATTGGATATCTGCGGTTATCTGATTATATTCAAACGGTCATGTAAACAGCATACTCGGATTTCTTAGATTGGAGTAAGATCTAGAAATCCAATTAAGAAATCTGATAAAGAGAGCTGGATTTTAGCTCAGTAGTCAGATTTCTCATTGCATGTAAACCCTTACTCTGATTTCTTTCGTATGTGTGAAAACAGATGGTGGTACCGGAAATAAGCAAGCAGCATTGCAGCGAGACGCAGCAAAATACTTTTGGAGCGACGCTGAAATCAACTACACTCTTGACAAAATGAAGGATATAAATATTCTTGTGTTCATATTTTCAGGTGGTGCGATGTTTTCAAAAAACAAGCCACGGCATTAAGTTTGAGTTTTACATTACGTTTACGTCACGTCTTATTCTGTGAGTTTATTGGCTGGTTGTAAAGCAGAAATCCGATTACTATCCGACTCTTGTAGACCTGGAGTTTCCCTTTATCTGATTACTCACGTGCATGTAAACGTGTTGATCGGATTACTGACAAAATCTGATTTTCTGCAGTTGTCGGATTATTAAGTGCATGTAAACGAAATCGGTGTTGAAGTTCCAAAGTGTACCTCCTCAGTCTAAACAGTCTCTGGGCCTCATTCTCCAATATCTTCCTATGTTTCTATTAAATGTGCTCTTGAGAAAGGTCCTAAGAGTCTCAACCATCAGATTTCTGGTCTGAACCTGACCCGACTCAAACCATATCATCGAGCTTTAAGTCTAAACCTGACCCAACTCAAAGCATATCAGTTTCTTTGCCTGACCCCAAGCCAACTTGACCCATATCATCAAGTTTAGAATTTGACCCAGACTTGTCTTGTACCATATCATCAAATTTTGAGTCTGAAACTGGGCTCAATATAATTTTGTCCGAAACTGACCCGGGCCGGCCCCCCGGCTGAATAAAACCTTACA